GGCCTTAGCGCTGATGCTGCTCCAAGGAACAGAAGGAAAGCCGCGCACCTCCGCAGCAGCAGCGGTGTAGAATGGAAGCGCTCTCCCCGCGCACGCGCGCCGCTGGGGAAGCGGGTTTTCTGCCTTCCAAGAAGAGCTAAAGCATCACCGTGTCAACCTGGGTTTTCCTCTCGTGGAGGCTCTGTGTAAAGCTGACCTGCTCGTAGCCACGGAAATCCTCGTTCCCCTGTCAGGCCTTTGTGATCGCAGGTGAGGGCGGGCTATCAAAATGGCAGCGGGCCTCTCTGCATCTTGGCTGCAAATAGGCTGGGTGCCATTTTCGTTCACTAAGTATATGCTCTTAGAAACAAGACTAAGTCAACCCAGAAAAGGAAAATAGCTGAGGTTAAAATACGAGCTAATTAATCTTAGTGATTCGTGAGCCTTTGTGAGAACAGTTACACAACTGTGCCTTGTGAAGAGCGAAAAAGCTTCATTTCTAGGGCGGCAGAGTGCTCCCAGCCCGATCAGCCGTCCGGGAGAGACAAACCAGATGGCAACTGGTTTTGGCGAAACACCCGTCTTGCTCTCTTGCCCGTCTAACTGGGCTGGAGGGTGCGTCCGAGCTGCTGGGGGACTTCCACGTCGCTGGTGAGAGCCAGGCCGCTCGGTGGGCTTCCGCTGACCTGCGGGAGCCGGGGACGGGCCCTGCCCTCTCCTTGCGGGGTCACCTCAGCCCCGAGGTTACGGCAAGTGCCCCTGAGCTCCTCCAGGGAAACCGGAGCAGTGGAACGTGACGTTCCTCACGTTCCTACCTAAAAGAATAAGCGTTGCCAGTCTTAAGTCTGTGAAATTAGGCAGAACGGCAAACAGAAAAATTTGTGTGTTTGGGGTCTTTTTTTGGAGGGGGCTATTGTTTTAGTTTGTCCCTAGAGCAACGGGAAGGCGGTGCAGCCCAGTGCGGTTACTGGGGGTCATGGGGTTACATGGTGGTCATGGCTGTGAAAGGCAGTGGTACCTTAGCTGTGACGGCCTTCCTACCTGGATGTGAAGTCCTGTGTGTGTTAACCTCCCAGAAAACACTCTGCACCAAAGCAAACCGTGGAGTAAATAGCTGTGTGGTGATCCATCAAGCCACGGGTGCATTTACGTCGCCTGAAATATTAATGCTGTCGAGTAGCATAGCGTAACCGGGCTTGACGCCGGATTTAAGGTGAGTGCCCTAGTTCATACGCTCTGCTCATCTCTTACGTAAAAGATTTTATAATTGCTCTTGATACAAGCATAAAACAAATCTAAGTATCCTGAACACACTAGAAATGCAGTGCCTTTATTTTTGTCTGTTCATTACTAATAATGTCTTATTTTGGATTATAGGACAGAAAACTCACTAAAGTAGAGAGGCAGAGATTTAAAGAGGAAGCAGAGATGTTGAAAGGTCTACAGCATCCAAACATTGTGAGATTTTACGACTTCTGGGAATCCTGTGTAAAAGGCAAAAGATGCATCGTGCTGGTTACCGAATTGATGACCTCTGGAACACTAAAGACGTAAGTACGGCGCTCCTGGTGAGGAGGCTAAGAATAGCGGTGGAAATTTTTAGAAAAATCCTAGTTTCATATTCTGAAAAAAGACACCTCCAGATAAAAGAAAAAAATGGAGCTGTTCTCTGGTGTCTGTCATCTGTCCCTGCATTTGAACTGCGTTGATTTGACAGGAAGAATTTCGGCCTCCATCTCTCCCTGCTCTCCTCTTTCAGTTATGCAACTAGAAGCAGCTCTCTGGGGTGTTTCAGCTCCTGCCTGTGACGTTTTAATTTGTCAGGGTGCGTTTTTGTAATTGCTTTTGTGCTTCTATTTGCATGTTTTGTTAGAAAACTCGGATAGAATAACACTGGAAGGGTAGGATCTCTTTTTGAAGCAGAAGGTGCTCTAGGTTATCTGCTGAACAATACTAATTAATAGCTTTTGGTACTGACAGTCTTGTTCAGGTTGATATAAAACACTTGGCATCAATTCTGGAACAGATTTTCAGTCCCAATGGGAGCGGTACTCATTGCTGCCTATACCCAGTGCGCTACTCTACCGGTGCGTTAGCAGGTTTTACATTTTTCCAAAATGCACCCTCCCTCCCAATTGGTGTTTTAGATAAATGGAAAAAATGCAGGTCTGTGGTACAGAGGTCAAAATCTTGTGGTTAGAATTAAATTTCAGTATTCTTCTGATTTGAATATATGAAAACATATTCTAAAACTGTTCTTTGCATGCGATGGATTGCTGTACTATTAGACTTGCAAATATTTTGTTGTATTAGCACCAAAAATGCTTATTATCTTCTTCCCTAATAATGAATGTTCTAATTCGTCCTTCGAAAAGATCAATTTCTTTCAATTTTTGTGGTATTTCTGAGCTGCTATTATGGCATCTAATAAGGGTCTTTTTTCCAGAATGGAGTTTCAGCTGTTAAAGCCCCTACAATCTCTAATAATGCTTCATTTTCTTCATAACCACTTCTGTGTGTGTTTTGTGCTGTAGGTATCTGAAGAGATTTAAAGTGATGAAACCAAAAGTCCTGCGTAGTTGGTGCCGGCAAATCCTGAAGGGTCTTCTTTTCTTGCACACAAGAACTCCACCAATAATTCACAGAGACTTAAAATGTGACAATATTTTTATTACTGGACCAACTGGATCTGTGAAAATAGGAGACTTGGGTCTGGCAACCCTCAAGAGAGCTTCATTTGCCAAAAGTGTAATAGGTAATCCTCCTGTTCTCCTTGGCTTCCTTCTGTTGGTGCGGTGGTTGTCTCTTGAATATCTTTCTTTCACATTTTGCATTAGTGTTTTTTTTCATTTGTAGGCTGGTAATAGAGATTAAAGTGGGTTTGTGACTGTTCCCTTTATACTGCTATAAAAATCCCAATCGGTAGGAAATGGTATCATGACTTCCTCCTTCTGTATCCCAATGGTAAAACACTTTTTGTTTGGGGATTTTTTTAGTTAAAATATTACAAATCCTTCTCCTCTCTCCTTCAAATGGAGCAGGAAGGGTTCTCAGCAGCTTGTGTGCATCATCCTCCTGAGAACTGGCTCAGTGCCTGCTGGGGGGGGGGAGAAGAGGAGGAAGAGGGCAGAGAAAGGATGCCCTGCTGTCCCCCTAACACTGGAGTGCTGCCAAAGCCTGGAAAAGCCTTCTGCTTCCAGTGATGCCGGGCTAGGGAGGGCTACTTTTGCTGAAGGGAGAGGCGGTGGTGCCCTGTGAAGCCGGGCTTCTCTCCTTTGCAGAGAGGTCGTGGGGAGCTGGTCTGGCTGGAGCACCCCATCGCCGTTTACTGGGGCATCAGCAAAACGGGCTGCTTCTGCAGGCAAATGCAGAGCTTGTCCCTGCTGTCCTGGCAGTGTTCTGCTGAAACAACACCTGCAATTTATTAAAAATCAGTAGGTACGAAATTAAAAGAAGTTTCCACTAGGATATGCAATAGCTGATGCCCTTAGGTAGTGCCCGTGTGAGAACTTGGGTTTGCTTGAACTGAGAGGACGTTTTCTGAATGCCTGTCAAAGGATGTCGTTTCCTTGCAAAAGTTTTAATGTTTTCTGTGTAAATGTAATGTTTTCCTGGATTCTGAAACACTTTGTGTTTTTTACCCAGGCTTCTATAGCAAATCTCCCTTGTCCAGATCTCTAGGTGGTGGTTCTAGGATGCTGCAAATTCCTGAGAAATGATGCTGAAAGTGAGGGAAGTTATCATGCACATAGTCGTATTTCAGCTTACAATATAAATGGAAATTAGATTCTAGGTAATTAGAATAAGCAAACTGATAGTGACAACCACTGTTCCCTTACTATATATGAAAATAACAGCCTATCTTTCAAGCAGCAGTTGCTTAAATGATTATTTTAGCATTTCAAATTTTCAGAGATTGTAGTTCTTTACAGTTATTTGTACAAAAGTATTGACTTTAATGCCCAGTATCATTGAAGTCAAAATTATAGAAGTTTTGGATATGTGTTTGGCTACTGTAGGGCTGCTTATCTTGTTGATTTTAGTAAAAATCATGTTGGTTTACATCTGTTAAGTTCCTCTAGCTTTTAACTTCTAATAATTGGTGGGGGTTTTTTTCTGTTGAGGGTCAGTATTTCTTCACATAATTTTTTTTCAGTATAGCGATTGTCCATGGGACATAATGGGAATACCAATACTGGGAATACTATCAGTAATACCAATACAAGTTTTTATAAAATCAGTTGTTACCACAACACCGTCAAAGCATGTTCATGTCTAAAAGAAATTCTGTCCTGGAAGGGGCTGCAGGTTGCTGGCAGGGTGTCTGCATGCATTTTGGCGATATAACCAAGCTTATCTTTTTCATGAGTAGCGCTGCTCCAAGGAAAGAATTAGGAGGGCTTGGAAACACTGTTGAGATGAGTAATTCTGCCCCCTCCGTAGATGTAGTAGCTTTAAAGGAATATTAGTAGCTGCAATTTTACATCAGTCTGAACAGAATGAAGTCAGCATGGCTGAGGTCCAATTTTTCCCCTTGCTGTGATCATGCCATCGCTGATGCTCGTCTGACCTTGCAGTGTATCTCTGCAGGGAGCTGCGCCAGGGCAAAACTCCTTTTGCCAGGAGGAGTTGAGTAGATGCTGAGTGGCTTTACGGCTAGGTGGTCTGTTTTGTTTAAGAGTACTCGTATGTGTTCCTCCCCGCCTCCAAGGGATGGGGGGAAAATGTCATTTTTATGCTCTTTTGGAATGGTGTCAAGAATGTCATTTGCTGCTTAGACTATCGTTATCACTTTTCAGATTTGCTTTAAATGCTCCATAAGTCATGAGATTCACTCCTGCCTCTGAGTCTTGTTCCTTCTAAAACAAGGTAGCAGCTCCAAAAACCATTCTCTGTGGCAGCTGTTAACCCTTTCAGAGGAGCAGCCACCACCTGTGTGACAGCAGGGGAAAAAATCCGAAGAGCAGGCACTAAGTTAAGCTTTCACAACGCGGGTCCAGCTGATTTACAGAGGCTGAAGGAATGAGTGTCTTTGAGGTGGAAGGGCCATAAACGAGCAGAGAGACCGATTTTGAATATTGCAAAGTGAATTTTACAGAAATGCTTGTGCTGAGGCTTGCTTAGTGAGTTAGGCCAAGTCTGCTTCAGGAAATGGGCAAAAGCAGAGTTTTTACTGACAGATGCCGATTTTGAGGTGTTTATGTTGCCATTTTTTAAAAAAAAGCTTATGTCAGGTGCCCAAACACACTCATGAACTATTTTTTCCTGGTATCTGCTACTTTAATTACAGCTGTGTCTTCACTGGTGTAGAGGTGTTGTAACAAAAAAGGGGCTCACGGGGGTCCGGGGGCCAGTTTGGGTGCTGAGGTGGCTGCTGCTGGGCTGGTTGGGCAGAGTTTGCCCAGGGTCCTTCACACGGTCAGAGACCTCTCGTGCTCCTTTTGGCATCCCGATGCTCACAGCTTGCTGGTCCTCTCCGGCACACAACGATTGCATTGATCTCTCTTCCTTCACCTTTTCTAAACATAAAACCAGAATACATTAGTCTTGACTTCTAAGCATAAATTACGTGACGAGATACAGTTCCTGGAATAAATTACCTAAGTGTTAATTTTTTTCCCTTTTGCTTCATAAGACCACGCTTTTCAGAGTAATTTGCTGTGCAAATGCGGCAGGCATTGTAAGTCTTCACTTGTCATACAGCTGCAACTTCCCATTATGAAGCAGTAAGTACAGTGCTTCACTTAATGTTTATCCAGTTGCATCAGATTTCTGACACCCTAATCCCTGCTGAGTAGGACCTTATTCTGTGAGTAGCCTCACTGAGTTGTCTCACTAAACCAGTGACAGAATTATGTTTAATGTTTTGTGCGTGACTTTGTAGGTGATTTGTGATACCACTTGCTTTCAAAGTGCTGTCTGTCTGCCGCGTGGTTGCTATGTATCTTCGGAGGAAAAAAAAAAATGCAAATTTGCATTGATAAAAACAAGAGTGAAGGTTCTTGTTTCTTCCCTCCTTTTCACCTCCACAAGCCTGACACATCCCTCTCTTCACCCAGAAAAAGAAATAATTTCACGACTTCCAGTATGGTCAGGCAATGTGCCATATCTCATGCTTTTGTTAAGTTTTTGAAATCTTGATACTTTTTTTTTCTCTCCCCCCTTGTATTATACCAGCGAGCCATGGGTATGTTACTGTGTGTGTTGACTTTGGGTTTCTTCCCTGGAGGATGCTTGAGCTTATTCTAGCTACTTCCCTCTTATGAAATAATCTTGCATGCTCCCTTATGCAGCTATAATGGACACACTTCTTAGAGGTGAAAAAGGTTGTGGTTAAAGCTGTTCAGACTTTATAAAAAAATTTACATTCTTTTTGTGTGTGTCTGTGCAGGTACACCAGAATTTATGGCCCCAGAGATGTATGAGGAACACTACGATGAATCTGTGGATGTCTATGCTTTTGGAATGTGCATGTTGGAAATGGCTACCTCAGAATACCCTTACTCAGAATGCCAGAATGCTGCTCAAATTTACCGGAAAGTAACCTGTGTGAGTAAATGTCCTTAATTTGTACTGGGATTTTGTAATTTGAAGGCTTAAAAATGTATTTTGATGAGGTGTCAGTACTGTCAAATGTGTCGTGGGCTGTAGAAATTGAGGTATCTTAGCTCTGGGTTACACAAACCTGTTGCAGGTTTATTTGTAAAGTTGCAATTCCACAGTTGGATTGTGTTTGTACTGCAGCTGCATAAAATATTTTCAGTAATCTTTGTCGCTGATTTTGTCTCCATCAGCCAAAAATACATAAAACTTGGGAAGAATGAGCAGGGAAAGATCTTTGCTCTAGTTTTGCCTCCTAAATGGGAACTCCTCAGACTTGATCACATTTCCCACAAAACTAAAAGGACTAACTTTTCGATTGCAGCCTAAACACTTATTTATATGGTGGGGGATGTTTGATTCAGATTTTCAGCACAGATTCTCTCTGTTTTTATGTGTAACAAATTATCTGAAGATATAAAAGGGAAAAGATAGCAATGTTTTGGAGTCAGCCAGAGGAGTTTTATATCTGCACTTTGGAGCTCTGCAAGGTCTGGTAATGCCCAAACAGGAGCCATGGAGATGGGTTTGCTGCATTTTCAGGTGAGGTTAAATTGGAGGAGAAGCCAATCTAAAATAGTCTCTACACTAAGTAAAATACTCTCTCCAGCACTCTCAACCCCAGATGATAAATATATTTGTCTACAAGAGCTGTATTGTGAATGCCTGAAAAAATTTCTGAGTCTGTAAGATGCTATCGGATTGCAAATGACTGATTGCAGAGAAATGAGACTTGCGAAAGTCTTTGGCAGCTGTGGTTATATTCTGTTCTACTTTAAGTGAAACAAAGAGTTACAGGAGGTTTTTTTCAGGATAGGTTTGTCAAAGATTTTCCCAGGTACTTCTTTCCATCTGGTTGCTTCCAAAGACGATGGCAAGCTGGGTGGTTTGGCCCTTGTGCATCATCAAAAGATGCAGTCTGCACACTTGGGATTTGAAGAGGGTAATCCTCTGAGGAAAGCTGTAACAAAATTTGCAAAAATTAGCTACAGATAAGGTTGCTTTTGTTTCTTTGACCTGTAAGGTAGAGTAGTTAGGCTTATGTGGTTGATCTATTGAGTGGATCCATCTCTCAAGTCTTCAAAATTGTGGTCCAAAAATTACTTGTATTCCTCTTATCCAGCTGCTTGTTTTGAGCAAAAATCTTCCCAAATGAATCTTAGTAATAAATGGCTGATTTTTGAAAGGTACGTGAGACCACTTGCCTCCTCCAGGAAGTTTAGTGAATTGGGCCTGTAGAAATACGGTTTTGTGCAATCCTGCAGTCAGCAAACACTGCTCAAGGTCAGAGTTGTACCTTCTGATTTGCTGTATGCTAATCTCTCACACAGAGATGGTTTCACCAGACACCCAAACACTCCTATGTGCCAGATGATGGGTTTACGTGCATTTTAACTTTTACAGGTGTGGTTTGTATTGTTCAATATCTGTTTTTTCCCACCACTGAAGACCAGGAGGCCGCGAAGTTGGTGCTCTTGTAGATTGCTGTGCTACCCAGCTGTGGTGATGCTAACCTGGTGCGAGAGGGAGGATGTGAATGATTCGGGAGTCTGTGTGTAAAAGTTGAAGTCAGTATCGCAAGACACAGGAGAATGTCCCTGCTGGAAATGAGAGAGATGCCATGACTTCCTGAAAGCAGGAGGACACATCTGAAGAGGGGAAGCAGCTTTATCTCATTTTTGTGTAAACCGTTGCAAGCTGACACTTGTAGTTTCGTAAAGCTGAATCTTTCCAATCGACTGCAACCCTGATTTCTGGTAGTTTCACTCTTCTTAGAGCGTTGGTTTCAACCTGTACCTACTCAGAAATAATTGAAAAATAAAAAGTAAAAAAGACCCCAACACAACAAAAAGGCATCAGAAACTGCTCAGCAGTGCAGTTAGCTTCATCGCTATGGCTGGAGCAGCTCCGCACGGCGCTGTAGGGAAGGGCGTGTGTGCAGAGATGGGTCTGCTGGTTTACTGACTCCAAGCCATTGTGCTCTGCACCATGGACTGGCTGGAAACATATGCTACGTCTTCTCCAAGAAGTGGAATACGTTTGTCTCAGAGGAGTTGCTTGCCTGAATCCTTATGAGGATGGCTGCTTGTTCCACGTGATTATTTCATGGTGCTTTATCACATTGTTATTCCACTCACTCCTCCCCTACAAGGGAAACTTTGTTTTGTTTGGCACAATGGCTTGTTGGCTTCGTTTAAGTTGGATGTGTGCTAAGTGCTGTCTCTGTAGGTAGCTTAGGAGACATCTCCTTCGGCTCTAGAGCCTCACATGGTGACATCAGGGGTCCTGTAATTTTAGGCTCTGGGGCCTCATCTGCTAAATGTGATACTGGGTGCCCTTTAGCTTTTGTAACCCTAGATGCTGAATGGCTTTCATGGGAAGTGTAGGGCATGTTACCGGCTGCATTGGACGGGCGTTGCACGAGCAGCGTGCCCAATTTGTTTGTGGAGCTGCTGTCACGGCTAACATTAAGGAGACCTGGCTCTGTGTGTATGCATTTAGAGCCACAGATAATAAAGATGTCTTCCATTGCTCTGCGTACCCAGAGAAGCTCTGTGTACAACTCTAGCCATCTGGAGTATTGGTAATTAAGAATTCGGAAGACTCCTAAGCCTCATTTATCAAAGCAATAGCTAAGATGGCAAAGAATAATGATTAATCAGAGGATTCCTAATTAGATGTTATATTTCAATTTGCAGACTTAAGTAGACATTTTTTTAAAGCACTGATGAAAGCCGGAGCCAACTGACTTTTTCTGTGGCAATAACCTGTACATATCTGAGAATTATATGGTAAATTATTATAGCTTTTTAAAACTGGTCTTGTACTGGCAACTTTAGAGAGATGGAAAATAATGCTTATCGTGAAGAACAAGTAATGATGGAAAAGCTGTGGGAAGGTCCCTTTATTGCTTCTAAGGGGTATTTTTGAAATGGAGCTATCTAGCAGGGAAGACTGAGGCAGAAAGCATCAGGTGCAGACATGGAGGCTGTCTCTACGGCATTTTTGGGCTGAACTCTGGGCAGTAGCACTGGGCAAAAGGCACTGTGATTCCTTAAATAGAAAAATCGGCATTACTGTTGTTCCAAGGAAGGGGCTAACTCGCTCCCTGCGGAGAGGGAAGAAGCCCTGTCGCATGCTGTGAGCTGCATTGAGGGTGTGGGGTCCCTCCGCCTTGTCCTGAGCCACCACCAGGCAGTGGGCTCTGCCCCCTTAGGTGGGGCAGTAATGACTTACGAAAAAGCTTTAAAATCACTTTTCATGAAGAGTTAGGGTTAGTCATGCAGCAGCTATTGCTAGTGTTGGATTTTGCTAGACTGAAATATAGTATTAGAAATGGAGTGCAAACTAAAGACAAGAGGCTGAATTACACCGTTTTCTTCCCAGGATGAGCTGAGGTGGTTCTCACTAGAGCAGAAGGTGGCCCTGACCTTCTTGGCTGGAGGGGATCAATGGTGCAGCGCTCCTGAACGCTGTTGTGTTTTTCAGCTTGACAGTGAGAAATTTAATTTTTGATGAAATACTGTGGGTTTTTTTCACCAGAAATGTAAACACTATTTTTAGTATTTTAAATTGAGGGTCAATGTAATGTAAAAATGCGACTGCGGTCTAGTTTCCTGATGCTTCTATTTAAGAAAATATAAAGTAACTGACTTGTTCTGCCTTGGGCTCAGCATTGTGGTGACAACCACTGGAGGTGCTACTAGCATCTAACGGGGTTGGATTTGCCTTCTAGTGAAGGTACAACAACCACCTTATTCTTTAGATGGCCTCTAACCTTACTTCGGGTTACACTGGGGCGCACATTCCCTCCGCTGTCTGGCACAGGGAGTGGGTTACTTTGGTTTGCCATTATAACATCTCCTTCCATTGTTTCTACTGTGTCCTAACACTGTCAAACTCTTGCCTGCTCATAGGATGTAAGATACATCTGAAGTCATAGCTGTTCAGTCAGGGGCGTTGGTAGTCTTTATTGGTATAGAAAACAGAAACGTTGCCTTTGAGACATGACTATTTTGTGTTAAGGCATTACGCATTATGCGTGTCTGTAGTGTAAGATTATTATACTTATTTTTTCAGTGACCTTTTATTCTACCTGACCATATTCTCATGGATTAATTGCTGCTTTAGTTTTCCACTTTTCTTTTTACATATGTGCAACTGTATGCATATATATGGATAAAGTGGCAGTAATTTCCTAAGCCATTTCCCAGATGTACAGGGGAGCTCATTTCTTTGCCAGATTAGACATGCTTGTTACGACTTGTCACCTCTCTGCCCTTTCAGCCTGAATTCTGGAGTGTAAACATAAAAAAAAGTGGATATGTAACAGAAATAGAAAATGCATATTTTTCAAGCAACAGGTCCCAACCACATTCACTGTAGCTAACTTTGAAGTGACTTCCTGGTCAGCATATTTGCAGTGACCTTCATCCTGATGCCATAATCTCATTTTTCATGCGTAACTTGATGGTTTTTCTTAGTCAGATTTTTTTGTGTTTAATCATTCTGCCAAGTGATTTTGATGCAGACAATAGGCATATTCAGTGATGAAACATCAGTCTGTGACCTTCCCATGCAACTCCAGTCCAATGTTTTCCTACTGCACTGGAGAATGCCCAGCAGACCAGCTGTACCTGCCAGGGGTTCACAGCAACCTCGTTGGGTTTAGCAGCACAAACCTGTGCTTTAAAACAACCCACACATTTATAGGCTTTGGTTTTCATATTGTTTCTTTTTCATAAATGTATTGAATGTTTTCTTGGCATTCGCAGGGTATATTCTATATTGCTTTTACAGATGGAATAAATTCTGTAGCTGTAGCACAGCAACAACAGACAAATAACGTTAGGAACGTCATTGCATTGACTTTCTTTGTGTTCCAGATATCTTCTTAGATTTGCAGATAATGTGCTCTAGCATTAGGATTGAGTACCATTTTGGAGTGAAATAGAGATGAGTTTAAAACTGCACACAGTGATCTCGCTGCTGAATGTTGTGGAACAACATCCTGACAAAGCTGAGAACACTACATTCACTTCGTTGACTTCAGAGAGTGTGTGGTAGGGTGGAATTTGAGTTGGAAACATGGTTTCAACTTTTCTGGAAGGTTTTTTCCTTTTCTAGGAACTATGAGTCCAGAGACTACTTTCAGGTAGGAGGTGGAGTTTTAGTCCAAAGTAGACTATGCCTAGACTAGGAGGGCACCTCCTGGGTGAAAGGAAAGTCTTTAGCAATATTACTGTCTGAAATGGGTCAGACTTAATGTTGACTTGTCTGGCATACGCTGTGCATCTTATAAAGCATCATGTGTTACTCTTTCTGAAGTATGTTCTGCTGATGGAAAAAAGACGAGCGGCTATTTTTAGACCCCTGAAAAACACGCTTCGTGTTTTTGCCCCCAATGTGGAGGTTGAAATTGTAATGTCCTATATGTGCCTGACTAGACTCAAATATACTGGAGTGCAATATATTTCAAATCTAATCTCTTCAGAAAGAAGGTGGGGAGACTAAGGAGTGGTGAGGGATTCAAAGACAGTTATCCTGTTTGAGACAGAGAGATTCTCAAAAGGGATGTTATTTGATCTTCTCTCAGTTTGCTCTTAGATTATTTTATTTTTTTAGCATTTAAAGAATTTGTATGAAAACATCCTTATGCACCTTATGTCAACAAGTTAGCCCTGCATTTCAGATGCAGTGGTGTTGAATTTACTTTTGTTTGTAGGACGTACAATTTTCAGACTGCTATGGATAACTCCTTAGCTAATATACTTTGAATTTTGGTGCTGTGTTTCCTTGGGAATGCTCAGGAAAAACAGATGGCGCTTGTATAAATGAATGAGATGAGTCCTTTGATTGCAAATAGAAACCTGTGTTTTGCATAAACCCCCTTCATTGTCAGGAGGCTTGTAAGCATCAGGGCACAGCGCTGTAGGGAGGGTTTGCAGCACTACAATGAGATGGCCTTGGAGATTTTAATGAAGAGTAAGGAGCGGAAGCATACTATACCATATAAGCATTGAGAAAACACTTTGGCAAAGCAGTTCTGCTCAGTACTTCACTGTGTATACTTTGTCCTTGTTTATTTTAGCCATCTGTTCATAGCTTAGCTGTTCAGTAGATTAATACAATAGATCTTCAAAGAAGAGTCAGTGTTCCTTCGAAAGATGTTGAAAGTAAAATGGTGTTTGGAGGAGTTATGCATTGATTTTGGGTTTTGGTTTTTTTTTTTGGAAGCAATTTGTAAGGTCAAAAAATCAGGGTCAGTCATCAGGGATCTGTCAAATGAACCATTTTCAGGCAAACCTAATTTCTAGATGCCCAACATGTCCTGCCCTGTTCCATCCCAGTCATGTCAGAGTTCAGGTTGAACCATGTAACTGAAGATTGTTCGTGAATTCGGGAAAAGAAAATTAAATTGAGAGGTACTGTGATATGCCTTATGCTATTTGTGTCTCATGTTCAGTTTGTGTTAAGATGCCCATGAAGCGCTCTGCTATTATAAAAAACAATTGGCAGATTCCCTTGAGTGCGTAGATACGTGAGCAATGTATTCCACTAGGTAGTTGAAAGCTCTTCAGGTAGTATGGTGAAAGTTGCTTCTACTGCTGCTTTGGTTTTTGGTTTGTTTTTTTTTTTTTGGTGTGTGTGGTGTTTTTGGGTTTTTTTTTGTTTTTTTTGTTTTTTGATTTTTTTTTTTGCAGGGGGTGGGGAGGGGTGAGGGGTGTGTTCTGGATTTTGCCCAGTTAAATTGATACTGATGCACATTTGAGGGATATTTTTCAGTAAATATTAAGCCATAGCAGATGATGGTCTTTATGCTTTCTTCCTCATAAGTGTCACTAAGATGGAAATCAGTGGTTTCCTATAGAAAACTGGAATGTTTGAAAATGTAGAGATTTGTCCTATTGCTTTCCATTGTGAATTACTGAAGATTCCTTCAAACTCCTCCCCATCTGGGAACACAGTAGGCTCCTGTAGCTTTAGGATCTTGTAGAGGATTCATGCTGAAAACGTCTTTTGGTGGTACTTTGTTTTCTTTCATTTCTAATTCAGATATTGGAGCTCTCTTACAAAACACTTGACATGCTGCAATGTGCTTTTTGTTGTTTTAAGCAAGCCTGGGCTTTGGTAGGCTAAATACTCCTTATCACGTTGACACATTTTTCTAATACACAAAATTTGAATGCTCATCTCATAAGATTTATTTGCTTAAGCAAACCTAATTCTTTTTAGTGGGTCACAGCCAGCCAGCCACGTGTATGGATTATTTTTGTTTCGTTCCTACAAGAATGATTCTTTTTGGATCTCAACAGTTCTTCTCCTAGGCAAAACTGGAAAGCTGAGTCTTTGTAGGACTATTCCATGAGTATGGGGTTTTTTTTCAGAATTTATCAATTACATATTTGACTCTCAAGTTTTACAGGAGAAAGAGAATGCTTGACCTGACATAAATAAATCCAAGTTTCAAGTTGAATCTGAGGGTTGAATGGCAACAGAACATTAATAAAAAGCTAAAAGTATAATCTGATGCTGCAGTATTCCGAAATTCTGAGAGATGCCAGCCTTCATTGAAATTCACCCCTAAAATTTATTCAAGACCAAATCCAGTGAAGTACTTGCAGACATTTTCTGCAATACACTTTATTATATCCAAGGCAGCATTGGGTGAATCAAATGCCCATTCTGTAGGACTTCAGGCCTCCTTGTCTGACACTGCATCATCCATTATATACTGTTCTTTCAGGGTGAAACTTTAAAAGGGTTTGAATGGAGTTAAATGTCCAAATCCCATTCAGTTATATGCGTAATCAGATTCTGGTTTTTTAGATAAAGGAAGTCATGTTTCCTTTTTATTCCACTTACTGACTTAATTGGAAATACTTGTGTCCTTAAGTAATAGGGTCTAATTGCAGAATCTGTTCCTGAATTAATTTTGGCAAATTTTCATCCACATACATCTCGTTTTAGTAGTTAGAGATGTTACGCGTTTTTTTAAAATGGAATCAATTTTTTTGTGATGTAAGCTGATCATCACAAATAAAAAGGATAACTTTTTGTGTTGACATCCCTGTCATCTGTACCTGAATATATACATGAAAAGTATTCACGGGAAATCTTCTGTTGAACTGAATGGGAATGAGTTGCCGCTGTTACAGATGCTGGGTACAGATGTTAGTTACTCCTGCGTCGTTCGACAAGGAGAGCAGTCTGGTGGCCCTGCTGGAGATGACGGCCGTTCCTAACGGAGCAGCCCTTCCCGCTGCCTGCAGCCTGGCGTCAGGAGGAGTTGTCAGCCTGGGCTTTGAAACTGCACCGCTGCACGTGTGTGTTAAGCGCCCTGGTGTTACCAGTAACTATTTTGTAGTATATTTTGATTACGTGTACAGAAGGATGACAGAATATGTTATTTAGCCTGAGAACTTGCGTACTGCTGCTTCTACGGTCTCTATGTTGGTAAGATATATGTTATTTTAATTTAGGGGCTATATACCCTGAGAAGGATCACGCTGAGTTAAGGTCTTGGTCTTGAAATGTTAAAAAGTAGGGAGAGAAGACCTATGACTGCCTTAGAAGCATGTGTGCATTTCTTCTAAATCCTTCCACCCTCTTAAAGCAACCCCACCTAACCTGAAAGAAACGCAGATGTCTCCTGTTGCGCCTCTGCGGAGCCGGAGCTCCCTGTGTGGAGCTGTGGGGTCTCTTCTGCAATGAGTGGTTGGGTTTTTTCCTTGAAAGGACATGCTCTCATAGGTAACTCTTCCAAAACTAGAATTGAATACCATTCCCAGCCAAAATACTAACATTTGACAGAAATTTAACTTGATATATAGGTTACCTCTGCTCTGCCACTCATTCCCAGTAAGATTCTAACAATGTGCTGAGGAAATGCAAGAGCAACACAGAGCTGTTGGGCATGTTCTTCTGCTCCCCTGCTTGGTTTTGGGGTTGGTTTTTGGATGGGGTGGTTTTTTTTTTTTTTGGGTGGAGGTGAGAGGGAGTTGGAGAGTGGAGACATAGAAAAGCAAAAGATTTGTGGGAAACAGGAATATAGACTGTTGCTGTGGGTCCTCCAAGGTATTTTGACTTATTCTTGAAACTGGCTATCTGAAGAAAAACTCGATTATTTGTCTTTATTCATTCAGCATCTTGAGAGTTAAGGCAAAAAACATAAAAGGACTAATTTCAGAAAAGAACTATTTTGAAAATTTTAAATTGACTCTTTCTTGAATATTGACTTCAGAGTCCACAGGATATAAAAATAAGGTTTGCAAAGGTTAGTAAAGAAATGGGGAGATTTGTTCTGTGTATGGCTGAGTTCATGTACAAACTAGTGTGCTTATTCAATTCATTTTTAAATTAAGACTAACAGCTTTAAAGTATTAGTTATTCCAAGGGTTGAATTGACTGTAAAATGTAGGAAAAATGTCCTTTAGTTAAGAGATATAATGTAATTCTTTAACTAAGTTGTTTTTCTCTGTCCATTTAGGGTATAAAGCCAGCAAGCTTTGAGAAAGTTACTGATCCTGAAATTAAGGAGATAATTGGGGAGTGCATTTGCAAAAATAAAGAAGAAAGGTTTGTTTCAAGTAATCAAGTTTTGCATTAAATAATGTGTATACAGAAGTTTCAAAGCTGTCTGTAGATTTTTGTTCTGGCCTCTGGGTCCCCTCTGTGCAGGACACAATGCAGAGTGGAAATACAAATATAAATGATTGCCTGCTTTTCTGCCATACAAAGTCAGGTTAATAGAAAAAATCCAATTGTGTCCTTAACCTATCATCTTCAAAGAATAAGGTCAGAAAGCATCGTTGTAGGCATGGGAGCGGGTGTATTTGAGCACATTCTGGCATAGCTGTCAGTAAAATCTCACTTGGGAGGCTTTGCATGGAGCATCAAGTGTGGTGGAGGTTGACCACGAATGCAATGCGGTAGAGACGCACCGCAAGCTGTTCTAACAGATCACACTGGCTCATTAGCCTCTGGATATGAAAGCAAATTGTGCCACGTTTCCAGCTTTGGTTTTAAAACCTAATCATCTTATACTGGCCTCTCCTAGAATAGTGTGTCTACTGCTTAGTATTTCATAACTTTCACAAACATGGCTTTTAGGGACCTCAACTGATTACCCAGAGGGAACCTCTTTTTTAGTACTTGTTAAGCTCAGATACTCAAGAAAAGTTGAGCAAAGCTATAATCTGCATTTCTGTACATGCTTATGGTGTATGAATATTGCTGAAACTTTGTGAAATAGGAAACGTCATTTTTTTCATCAGTCCTCAGTAACACTAAAAATACTATGCCTTTTGTTAAGAACACAAGTTTGTTACAGGTGATCACCAAACATACTGTAAATGTTTTTGCCTTTAACAGTAATTTTTTGTCACAAACTTCTTTGAAAGTGCTTAAGACTTATTCTTAATATCCATTGCAGATATGAAATTAAAGATTTATTGAGCCATGCCTTTTTTGCTGAAGATACTGGGGTAAGAGTGGAACTTGCAGAAGAAGACCATGGTAGGAAATCCTCTATTGCCTTAAGACTCTGGGTAGAAGATCCTAAGAAACTGAAAGGAAAACCCAAAGATAATGGAGCCATTGAGTTTACTTTTGATCTGGAGAAGGAAACTCCTGATGATGTTGCACAAGAAATGGTAAAATAAATTTCTCCTGACCGGGAAAAAAAAAAAAAATTATATATATGTAAAAAAAGTAGTGCATAAATCTCAAAGGACAACAGGAATGAGTCTGGTAAAGTAACTTCCATTTAAACCATTCCAGGTGTCTAGTTTAAGCAGTTTGCATTGATTTTAGAACGAATGCTACAAGAAAGGGGTAAATGGGGAAGAACTAATAACTGAAAAATATTGTTTGCCAGGTATGAAAACAATGCATGAGATGGCATTTCAAATAGCTTAGGGACCATAGAGGTCTCTTCTACTTTTATATTTTCAAAACTCTTTTGCCAATTTCTGTTAGCTGCTGAATGTCTTCAAATTTATTTGGAATCTGTTTAGTTTCAGACAGCAGCTTGAAATTAGAAGAGTTCAAAAGTTCAGTTGCAAAATATTCTGCACTGAATTCTTCAAAACACTTCCTTCCATCTTTTCTGTCAGTGTTACTTAGGAGGAATGTATATGAGGAAAGTCTGTGGTCAGCCACTCTATCACCAAACATAAGTAGGAAACTAGATTCAAGCCCACTGCGCAGAGTTAGGAATAAGCTTTGGGGTTTTTAGCTGCAAAGCTTAACTTTGTGAATTTCTGTATCTCTTAACTTGTGGGGTTTTGTGGTTTTTTGTTCCTGTTTCACTATAGAGTCCTTGAACTTGTATTTTAATGATGTCTTTACTGCAGTTGTTTAGGTTTTCAAATGTCATGGAAACATAGAATAAGTAAGCACTTAGTCAAGGGTCTGAATTTTCTTGTGCTTGCAGAAATGTTCCTATTATATCCTAAATCCCAAGGGATCCCATTTAATGATGTTGTCATCACCACTCCTGTTCTGCTTAGGAGGCACTCATTTTGGTAATGTTGCCTTACTATGCTTGGACTCACCACCATGTGCGCCAAATTTAGTGGCAGAAATTTAGGCTCCTCTGTCTTGTAAAATAGCATGTCTTCATTAAACTTTAACCATTCTCTACAGAGGTGTAGGAATAAGAATTGTTTAAAAAATTGTGAATGCAGCAGGTTTTCAGTGCCTTCCCATTAAGCTTTGTCATGAAGAATCTACTGGGCATGTTAGTTAATACCCTAAAAGGTTCTCTGGACCTGTGTGGTTCTTGAGTAACTCCCTTCTGTCATTAGAATTTGCTGGATCATCGGTTCAGGAATGTCAGTAAGGTCTGAGGGCATAGGCAGTGGAAAGTACCCATATCCATCTGTAGCTGTATTTCCAGCTGCTTTGCACCTATTAATTTTAAACAGCAAAAATCTAAGCTGTAAAACTGTCTCATGTTTGGGCAAGAGCAAAGAAGGAAAACCTCTAGATTTCCATGTATGTAAGTGCTTCTACATCTGTAGTATATCC